TTGGGAGGGTCGACCACACCGTGCGGGTCGAGCTCCTCGCGTGGGTCGACCACATCGCGCGGGTCGAACACCTCACGCGGGTCTACTACATCACGCGAGCCGACACCCTCGCGTGGGTCGACCGCGTTGTACCAGTCGACCACCTTGGGTTGGTCGACCACACTGCGCGGGTCAAACGCCCCGCGTGGGTCGACCGCATTGCACGGGTCGACCACCTTGGGAGGGTCGACCATACCGCGTGGGTCGAGCTCCTCGCGTGGGTCGACCACATCGCGCGGGTCGAACACCTCACGCGGGTAAAGCTCCTCGCGTGGGTACACCATGTTGCGTCGATCGTTCACCTTGGGTGGGTCGACCGCCTCGCGTCGGTTAGTCAAACTTTACACATCTATGTCACGCAACGACTTGAGACTCGATCAATCCACGGCTCTCGCACGGTGGGTGCTTAAGGTCGAGCTATTTGACCCTTTGATCTTAGGGTCGATAGGTTCGACCCGTGTAGCTTTGCTAATCTTTGCCCCGGACGATCTAGCCTTAGGGCTTCTGATCGACCCGCCTGGCTTTGAACCTTTTTGCCCCAGACAATCTAGCCCTAAGGCTTCTGATCGACCAGCGTGGCCTTGAACCTTTTTACCCCGAACGATCTAGCCCTAAGGCTTCTGATCGACCCGCGTGGCCTTGAATCCTTTTTGCCCCGGACGATCTAGCCCTAAGGCTTCTGATCGACCCGCGTGGCCTTGAATCTTTTTTACCCCAGACGATCTAGCCCTAAGGCTTCTGATCGACCCGCGTGGCCTTTAACCTTTTACTCCGAACGACCTAGCCCTAAGGCTTCTGATCCACCTGCGTGGTCTTGAAACCTTTTCGCCACGGACGATCTAGCCCTTAGGCTTCTGATCGACCCGCGTGGCCTTTTTCATTAAAAAATTTTCTCAACCATAATAACAATTATTGTTTCAAACATAATAAGACATTTCACTAAGCGCGTTTTTTTCAAATATTATCGCACATCAAAACGTTCATGGCTATAAAATATTCACCGGAACAAGTACCTCGGTGCTAACAAATGGTATATACTTCCATTACTTTTTCCTAACTTCACTTAAACAAAATACTTCTTAACCTAAATAATGTTCCATACCTTGGGCAGCACCTTGTAATGACTGTCTTCGAGCTCGTATGCTCCTCCCTTCAAACCCCTAAGGACTTTGAACGGCCCTTCACGCACTGGCTCCGTCTTCCCGGCCTTCTTCAAAGTGTCCGCCCTCGCGACCTTCTTTCTGATTTTCGGATCAAAGGGTTCGAGAATCATGTCTCTTTCCCCTCCTAATGTCTTGCACTAGAAAATCTTCATGTGCTTCCTCCATATTCATGTATTTATTTCCCCTCTCTAATAGTTCATCGTAACTTCGAGCTGGCCTTTTGGATAGGGAGTCTCGAAATGGCCCCAGTCGTAGCCCCCAGGTCAATCTGCCAGCTTTGATTTCATCTGTGGCGGTAGGAACTTCAACACACGCACGCGTGTAACGGGCTATGTAGGCTCGCAACGACTCTTCATCCCTCTGCTGCACATTTATCAGAGATAAGTACGTTTTCTCATGCTTTTTAGCGCTTGCGAACTGGTTGGTGAACAACGAACTAAAGCCTCGAAAGTCTTTGACGACGCCCGATGCTAGCTGATGGAACCAATC